AATTTTCATTCCTTCTTTAAGTGATTCACAGAAGCCTGATAGATGCAAGGCTCCTATGGGTTTCATCATTCCTCTGCACAATTGCTCTGGCATGGTACAGGTGCTGCATCACTGTTTCCAGCATGTGGTACCTGGCTGTCAGCCTCTTAATAAGTTACTGCATTTTGCATCACTAGCTTTCACTTTGCTACATCCAAAATTTTTCTGCACAATAATTGCATAAATTCACTTATTATACCAGAAAATATTAATATGGTATGAGTAATTGTAGATAAATATTTTGAATGTATGTAAATCATGTCTTTAGCAACTGTATCTTAGTTTTAGCTTTTGGTAATTGCGATGCAGAGCTGTTTCAGAGCTGTTTTCCTTCACCCACTTCTGCCTTGTTTGCTCATTTATCTAAATGTGTTAACTCACAATGTTTCTCAGAGTCACATTACTGAATTAACAAGGTCCATCTTCTTGTTACACCATTTTAAAACTATTTAGTCTTTTTAAAGTTTAGAGATAAAGCATTCCCAAATGCCAACCATGAAATTCAATCTTTCTGGTAAGGCTGATTTTGTCTGCTTTTTATTCAAAAAAAAAAGAAAAAAAAGAAGTGAGTATTTTAGGAACAGAGGGAGCATAGAGCAGTCTTCACTGGCTCCACTGTAAAATGGTCTTACAACATTATGACAATGGTTTGATAGAGAGGTTTGGGGGGCGGTTGTATCCTTTATGCGAATCTACACAATCTAACTAGACAATCTCTTATCTCTTACATTTGGGTAGTTGGTTTGGTTTGTGGGCTTGGGTTTTCTTCTCCAGAAGTCCATAGATAATGAACCTTGGTTGGAAACAGCCTTGGAAAAGCTTACACTGCTCATGTTCATTCTGTCTCTTATGAGTGCACAAGGACTGCAGAACTCAGATCCCCAAACTTTCAGCTCCTCAATTATATTAAAAAAGAAAATACTGAGTTATGTTAATCAACACTGCCTTTTTTGTTTCTATTTAAAGTTCTCTCCATTCAGATAAATTCCCAGTGGTCTCCTGGTGCACTGGATGAAAGAAGTAATCCTTATCTAGTGCTTACAGCATTTCATGGCTAGAACACAGATCAATGTGAAAATTTGCCCTGGTTGATCGCTATAGTAGGGTGTGCAGCCTTGTATGATGTGCAAAAAATTGAAGTTAGAACCTAAATCAAGAGCTCATCTTTCCACATGTGCTTTGGGCTTTTTGTTTCAATGTTGAGTTACTGTCTCCTTATGCATCATAGCTATGACACAGGAATTGCTAAATTACAGGGGTTTATAACCCTATGGGGTGGCATAAAAGAGAGGCAGTGTCATGGGATTTCTCTTAAAATTCATGTTAACAACATCTCCCCATGGTGCCCGGTCCCTTGAGAGCCACAGACAGGGTGATCTCCACCACAGGGGTCCCACATTGTCTTTGCTTTGCATGACTTTGCTGTCTGTTTGTCCTTTCCATGAAGGGTAGCAGTTTATTCTCTAGGACACCTAGTTTTGCTCCACTTATTCCGTCATGACTTGCTTATTGGGAAGCTCTGCACAGGACCAGAGCGGTGGCTGACCAAGCCTGTGTCTTTAGAGGCACTGTGATATCTGAACTGTTGCTGTTAATGTCTTGTCTCGGATGTTAGGGAATAATAACTTAAAGTTGAGGGTCTTTAAATTGCCATTTGAGGGAGAATAAAACAACACATATGCTGTAAACGTAAAACAACCTTTAGAGGAAGATAGAAAAACACTGCATGCCAAATAGTTTGTATCACTCACTGAGTAATCAACTCTTTTTTGAAGCTTTAACTCTTATTAAGAAATTGTATGTTGGTTTGTGTGACTTGCATGTTTTCCTACTCTGACAGTTTAGTCCAAAGATAAAATGTTCTCTATTGTAAACAGCCATATTGCAGAAAAATAGTAAAGAGCACATCTAATAGGATTCACTCAAGGACCTTTTCCCTCATTAGTATTGCACAACTGTGTATTGTGCACTGTAAGGTGATGGTCTTTTGAAAGAAAGAAGCAAAGAGAAGGTTGAGTCATGAACTCCATCTGGATCTAAAAAAGGAAATGGTATTTCATTTCTCTATATGAGGAAACATAATATTTGAAATTAAACGAAGAAAGGTGTTGTGTATTAAACTTACTATGTAAATTTTCAAGGTAATTTTTTTATCTAGATAAACATACGTATCAATGCTTGAATAGGTTGCTAATATATTTCCGTTATACTGAGGTTGATACATAAACCTTTACGGTAGATGAGTTGGAGGGGGAGAACCTTCAGGCCTGGCTTCAGTACATTACCTGGAAGGTGTATGCTCTTCCACCCTGCCCCCCACCCACGTAGCCTGAGACCCCACAAAGGAGCACTCACCAGACCACCAGGGGAGAGACGGACGAAAGAGGAAGTTTATTGTGAGGTAGGGGCTTATATAACTCTTGGGAGGGTCAAAGGGAACCAATCACAGGTGAGGGGTCTTACAATCAGCTAGGGAGTTAACAGCCAAATAAGGAAGGGGTTAACAAAAGACCAATGAGAGCACCCTGGGACATCTTCCCAGGACACTCCTGCCTGAGAGATAAGGGGTCACACAGAAGGGCTCTGGTAACTGCCTGGGGGCCCCGGATTGCAGGGGAAGCCAAAAAATGGACATTTCCCACACACACACACCAAGGAGGGGAAGGGGAAAAAAGGGGAAAGAAGGGCGGTTTCTTTCCCACTAAACTCACGCTGTCTGCGGCTGACTGTAGACAGGACTTCCCCCTTGTTCGTCGGTGAGCACAAACTCTACGATGAAATCTGAGCAGATTTGGGCTGGAGACAGGGCAGTGCACAGGCAAGCCAAGGCCGGAGAGCAGCCAGATGACCAGGTCGAGAGAAAAACGGCCTCAAAGCTTTTCACACACACACACACACACACACACACACACACACACACACGCCTTGCCTCCGTTAAGGCAGAAAGAGCCCCCTGTTTGCAAGGAGAGGAGAAAAACTCCTCCCCCCTCCCCCAGCCCCAGAGAGAGCCATCAGGCTGGAATGTAGTTCTGCCAGCCAGCTCCTTTGTGTACATAATCATCCAAGGCGGAAAACTGTCCTCTCCATTCAACATCCCTCCCCCACAGGCAGCAGGGGAAAGAAAATTCCTGTTTGTTTTTCTTAAAACAAGTAAACCCATGACAGGGGTGGACGATCAGCTTTGAGTTGTTTGTTTGGAAGCAGTGGATACATTTAATCTGAGCTGCAGAACATTGTCCAGCTGGCTTGAAGCTCACCTCTTTTATTATTGAAATGTTCCCTAGGAATATTTTGTAATAGCAAACAAGTGATGCAAATCAGCGCAAAGGGCTGTGTAATTCTTCTCTCATATGGAAGGTGTAAGTGTGTGACAAGGCAATTTGCTGGCAGGCAATATTAGAAACTTGATGGTCTGCATCTCTTTCCTCTTTATACCATGCAAGCATATGTGACAGTATTATTCCAGAGGAAGTTTCCCGATACAAAGCAGATTGCTGGTTTTTTCCTTGCATCATGTAACAGTGTTAGTTTTTACTTTCTCGTTTGTACTTGGCTGTGTGTAAACGTGGCTCACCACAAAACAAACCATGGAAATAATCCCCTCTCTCGACTCTCTCAAATAACTGATTTTTTTTCTTTTTTTTCTCCCTCTTATATCCTAAAATATTGATGGATATAATTCTAGCCCAAGGCAAGTATAAGAGACATGCAGGATATCTTTTGCCATTCAGGCAGTGCTACAGCTCCTAATCAAGTTAGTGAAAGTTCTGCCACTCAACTGAGTAGAAATGGGATTCAGCCTTTGCTTACTGATCTCATTCTGATGCAGTGGAGTTTCCTGCATTCATGTGACCAAGGGAAAAATAGGAAGGCCCATGTGAATAGATATTGCATTAAAAAATCAGTATGAGGTGTCATAGGTTAAACAGTCCTGACTTGCGTATTTTTTCTTAGCTTAGTCTGAAACAAGATTTCTTGTGCTGTTTAAGTGGAGTCAGTGAAACAATTTAAGTCAGTAATGGTGAATTCATGTTTTGTGTTTCACTTGGGAGGCAACTAATATAGCACACTTACAGTTCTGTACACCAAAAGATTGTGTATTTTGTCATCTCAAACTCACAGCTAATAAAAATTAATGTTATATTACTGTCATACTAGTAGAGACTTTAAGCTTGACCTCTTTTCTTTTCAATAATATTAGCATTAGGAATATATTTTACATACATTAATGAGTATTGGGCACCTCTGACATCTGCCTACTTTCTAGTGAATGCAGGCTACTAAAGAGTCTTGTTTACCTTGCTTTACAGATCAAGAAATTCCAACAAAACTGTTCAAGATCTCAGTTAGGTTGTGTGAGTATAAGAAAACTAAAAACTTGACAGCTAAGATTTTCAGAGAGATGCTTTTATAAAAATGCAATTGATATAATGGTACCTTTGGCAGAAAAGAGTTCCCTCATTTCCCCTACAGTCCGTACTATTTCTTTCCATTTCCCTTTTTTTCCTCCCTTCTTTTGACTTTACTCTGAGAGAGATAAAATATATAGAAAGGAGAAAAGATGAAAAGCAGAAGTAAAGGAAGAATAGCATGTTTTGTTTTCTGGTCTTTGCAGATTTGTTCAAAGGGCACCATAAGAATTTGTGTGTGCCAATTTTTAACAATCAGTAACCTTCAGGGGTTTTTGTACATCTCTCTGAGATACTTCCCAAAACTAAATGCTGTACCCTGGTGAACACTGTATAAATATTAAAGTGGCATAGGGTATTGACTGGTAAATCTAAGTTATCTGTAAGTATTTGAATTGTAACAGAAGATGGAAACAAATTTTGGGACTCTAAGTTGTCTCTAGTGCTAAAGTGCTTTTGGTTCTTCTTCACAAAAATTGGTGGCCTGTTAGCCTGTTCTAAAGAGTGCAAGACTTCATCATGAGTGAAAATGTGTTGCTTCATATTCAACAGGTCAAGTTTTCTTCAGATTGAGACAGAACTGTGGCTCATGAACATCTGATGTGATAGGTAAGTTGAATGTGATACATCTTTTTACATTATCATTATCACCACATGAAAAATATTGATCTTGATTATGCTAGTGTAAGTGCAAACTATAGATGTATTATCTTTCTTATTTTGCATTTCTTCTGGTGGTAGAGAAATGAAAATTTACCTCCTTTCCATCTCTCCCAAATGACCCTTCAAAAACAAGGTTTAAAAAATTATTAATGACCTTTTTATTTAGAAACAATTTGCATCCGGAGATACAAAAAAAGTAACTTCAATAAACCTTATTTCTTGAAATAAGATGGTAAAATATTCTAATGTGAAAAAGGATATTTGGGCTTATGAGTTCAGAAAATCTGGTGTAACTGAGGCATAGCCCACGTGTTCATAAAACAATAGACAAGTGTTTGGGTATATTAGTGATGAACATTGCTAAATAACTTAGTGGCACTGCTTTCTTTTCAGCTATTTAGTCAGATGGGCAGTGTTGTAAAAAAAGGTATCCTAGCATGTCATTAGTGCATAAAAGAGAGACTAAAGTAAGGGTAGAGTTTTATATTGTGGTTTTTTGCTGAATTTTATTATTTGTGGCAACTGTTCAATACCTGGGGCATACATCTATAGACTTGTTTAGTCTTATAATCCTGAAACAGTGGTGTGATCAAGCAGGACTTTTGCTTACCCTGAAGTACGTGAGGCTGCTCCAGTTCCAGAGAAATGGTGAAGAAAATGTGAAAAGATTTCAGTTAAGCTAGTGTGAGGCTCTAGAAACCCCTTGTCACAGGGACATCCACCATGGAAATGATTCCTAGAGGGGTTTTGGCAGTCAGAAGCAGGTAGACAAATGGGAGTGTTCTGCACTGCTTGTGTCAATAAAACAGATGCATTGTGGAGAAGTGTATTTAATGGTATAGAGTTGATCTGACAAATAAATACAAAATTTCTTTAGCAGTAGAAGTTTCTAAGTATGTAAAAAAAAAAAGGAAGCGACATAAAGCTATTAGTTTCCCATCTCTGGAATCCAGTTTAGGAAACTCCTTAATGATGTAATTTTTCAAGTTGCAGGGTAACTTTTTCTGAAGTAATCAAGCCAAGATATATATGCCTAGTAGGATTTTGAGTCCTATTTACAATATATGTTGTTGTCTACATTCATTTTTTTATGGTTAGGATTTAAAAATGAAGGTAGGAAAAAACGTCAGTGCTTTCTCTACTAGTCTGAACATAACGATAAATTTCTAGAACTTCAGTGTTAATACTTCAGAGTTTTCTTTTTACGAAGCTATGTAGGAGAGAGTTTAACTCCTTTCAGTCTGTTTTAATTCCATTACTTCTTTCAAGGTATCAAATATGTTTGGGTTTTTTAACTTGCATTTTTCATTCATTTTGATACAAAGGCAAAAACATTGGGATGATGAAGTGACAGTAAATGTAATGACAGGGAAGGTAAAACATACGATAATATTTTTAGGACCAGAAGAGTTTGTCATCCAGACCTATGTATCACACATAGATTAAGCAGTTTCTAAAACGTCAGTACGTTGTGATTTATAGTTCAGAAACTCATCCTTTCCTAGATAAAATGAAACATTAGTTTGTGTGTGTGTAATACCTTGCAATTTATTATACAGGCAGACACTTGATGGAGTCTGAGCATGAATGCCTCAAATGGGAGGTGCATTCATATTGCACGAGTGCTTGAGAGAAATTGGTGTTGCACGTGTATCTTATGTAAATGTGATTGGTAACACTGGATCAAATGTATATCTTTTTCCATTGCTGTGTAGCCTTTTATTATGGATTGGATAAATCCATTCTTACTTGTGGGAAGAAGAAAAAGGAAAAATGGTACTGCAGAAATATGTGGATCTTTCCTTCCTTGCAGAAAGGGAAGGACTCATCTCAGAGGAGAACACTACATGAGCTCACGTTTTCAGTAGAGGTTTTCTTCTCTATGTGTGTGCGTGTGTTTGTGAGTATCTCTTCTGTAGCATAAAAGATCAAGGTATTTTATAAATAGATCTTTCCTTAAAAGAGGCTGCACAAAGAGGATCAATTTTTCCCTAAATGTGTCAGGAGCAAGTGTCCAGTGTTGTGGAAGGTCTGATCCTGAGGAAATGGAATATAGATTGTGCCACAGGCTGAAGCTGGAAAGACACGACTGAGAGAATACAGTCTGTAATACACACACAATGTTCACAAGCCTTGAACACACTTAAAATTTGTCAAAGTAACATAATAACTGTCCTAAAAAAGCACCAGGAATAAAAATGTCAGCCAGTGGATTTGATGTGTATATAGCTCATTATGTGGGGAGAGGGATAGAGAGACTTTTATTGTTGCAAGAGGAACAGCAATTTGCTGAAAAGGGGAAGCAGGCAAGTGTTTCAGGAAAGGAAATTCCAGCAAGTTGGAAATATGGGGCTGAGAGAGAAATGAAGAGCACAAAAGTGAGAGCTCAGTAGCAGATATTATAATGGAGAAGCTACAGTGAGAAGCTAGGGGGGGTGAGAAAGTGAACAAATACAATGAAAAACATCCTTCATTATCTCTGGCTCGGTGGATTGCGTTCTGTTGTTGCTAGTGCTTAATTAGCTGTTGTGATGGTAGCTCCCCATCTTGATTCATTCTGCTTTAATTACCATTTGCATGGCTTGAACAGAGCACAAGGACAAAGGAAATGAAGTCGGATCCATAATGGCCAGGTTCAGACAGGTCCTCTAGGGATGGCAGGAGAGAATAGAATCTGCTGAAGGTATTTGTGAGAAGTTGCTTCTCTGTTAAGGACCAATGCTGCCAACTGGTGTGTTGAGAAAATTAAGGAGTATCATCCACATGTAGTTCAAATGTATGGGAGAGGTAAATTGTGCAGTGAACATGCACTATATGCGTAAGAACTCAGAGCAAACTCACGTTTAAAAATTAATCATCATATTACTTTGCTTTAAATTGATTATTAGAATTATTTATTACAGTGATATCATTATTTATGATTCAGCAGCCATACGTTGGATAGTGTTCCACACAGAGATAAATTGGGAATTGAAAAAAACTAAAATCAACTTTTAGTGGAGACAGAGCTGAAAATGAGACTATTTCTGTTCTGACAGTGTTGTTTCTATTAGAGGGCACTGCAATGTGCAGAGGCTCAGAAAGATGTCAGTAAAAATAACAACTTGACATTATATGTGCAGTAAATACTGGAAACTGGAGACTGTTTTATTATTTTTGTTTTATGTGTGGGTTGTTTGGTTTTTAGTTAATGCTAATCTGCTTTATATCTCATTATTTTTCTCCTTTGGTTTCATGGCAGTGTAGCAGTCTATGTTAATGCCTATTTCTTTATCCAGTCTCATAAGGTCACCATTTGACAGTGGTAACTTAGTTCACATAAATATTTTCATAAGTTAATATCTCCTTTCATTTAATATGGGCAGACTGGAAAATTTGGGACCACTTACTTTCAACAAATTGTACTAATAATATAATTAAGTCCTTTGAAACTAAAGTGCAAAATTCATAGTCTATTAGATTGGATATCTAATCAGAGTTCATGATAATAATATAATTATTTGTGATTAAAAAACCAAACAAAAAACCCAAACAAAAACAGACAAAAGAAACCAAAAAAATCATTCCTAGTGAGGACTTGGCCAGTTTAAGAAAAGCAAAAGCCCTTCCTCTCTATCTCAAAAAACCTGCAAAGCTAGAATTGGCGCCAGTGTACTCACTCCTGCAAGTATCAAGGTACATAGGTCTTGAAAAGCTGTAATGTAGTAAACGCTGGACTGAATGCTTTAAAAAATGTATGGGTGAATGGGGACTGGAAACAGTCACTGAATAACTCAGGTGACTTTAAGCAACTATGTGAGAAAGTATTTGATTTTTATGATGAATGTTGACCAACTCTCGGATGTAACTGAGGAATCCTAGCCATATGAATGACCCACGCAGTGCTGGCTGGGTTGCACAAGCAGGACACTTAGCATTGGGCTTGGCTAAGGTTGGGAGCCACAGTGTCATTTTCAGTCTGTTCACCAAGTAGAACTGAAAAACAGTAAGACTTCACCAGTAGGTGGATTGCTCTTGTGCTGCAGCACGGGAAAAGAGGAAGGGTGGAGAGCAGAAAGAAAGAGGAAAGATATAAAAGGGATTCTTGTGTGATTGGGTTCGTGCATGAAAGTTTTCCTTTGTGTGCTTTCTCGGTAGTCCCTGGTCCTGCGGACCAGCATACTAAGCTAGCTGATCATCAGCCAGGAGGTAGTCCTTGCTCTTCTTTCTATTTCGTGGCATCAAACATGGAATTTGGAGCAAGGCCACGGTTAGATTTTAATAAACAGAGTTAGGTTTTAATAAACTGTATTTCCTACAAGGAGGGCACTTACTGCAGTTTAGTCTATCTTCATGTTGTCTAGGAGGACATATTTAGTTGAGCCTTTTTTCTGTCCCTCCATTCAGATCTACATGTGTGGCAGTGCTTGTATTGTACTGAATTAGCAAGAGATTCTCTATAAAACTTTGTTGTCTGCTCTAGCAGTAATTTTAAAGGAAAGAAATAATAGGATATCTTGTAAATTATCGTATATCCTAATAAATTCATCACAGTGTGAGAGAAATCTTCCTGAATAGTGGAGATAATGTGATTCACCTTTTCTCAGTCCACACCTTGCTACTGTGGTTGTTCTGAAGATCCTTTGAGTTTGGCTGGTGGCTCATGCCATGGCTCAGCAAACTGTAAGGCTCACATTCTTGAGACCTTAATAAGACTTAAAGATATGCTGAAATGCCTTTTCCTGAACAACCACGTAAATGTGATCGAAAACTGTAATGTGACCTTAACTGTTATCATAAAACTTAACTTTGTGTTAAATATTCTGTGTTTGAAAATTGAATACATTTTAAAAGCTCTAGCTTTCACTTACCCATATATGTCACATGTATACCTCATAGATTGAGTTTGAAAGTATTACTGTTAATACCTTGAGGAAATGTCATTTTACAAGTTTGATGTTGCTACC